TCCCTTCTTGAACTAATTATGATGAGAGTGAAATTCAAGCCTGACCAATTCTAATTTGTAAGGAGTTATTTTTTTCAATGAGGTTTTTATACCTTTTTTCCTAACCATTTGGGCAATTCTGATTTTTATGGAGTTTTTTTCTAGTATTTTTGTGCCTTTTACATAAGCTGTTATTTCTCTTTTCATAATTTTCTTACACAGCTCTTATTTCTTTTCCTAATTTTTCTTCTACTACTTTTATTTGGTTTTTAAAATCAATTTTTTTTATTGTTTTCACATGCAACTGGGAAATAAGATATACAGGCAATGGGTATAGAAATCTATAGAAATCCTGCCCTACAGGAAAATTGAAGGGGAAAGGCATAAGAGAAGAAGCGGGGAGAGATAGAAGGGAAGGCAGATTAGGGGAAGGGATATTCAGAATGCATGCCATTTTGGGGTGGAGGGAGAGATGAGATAGGGAGAAAATTTGGAACTCAAAATCTTGTGGAAGTGAATGTTGAAAACTAAAAATAAACTAATTTTTAAAAATCACCTTTTTTTTTGCTTAAAAAAGCCCCTTTATTTAACTCATAAGAATTCTTACTGGACTTTTTGTTGTTTATTTAAGGGGGTCCAATCTTCATTTTACTTTGAGGCTTTGCTTATAGATGTTTTCATGTCATTTCATGTCCGAGTTTCTTGAGCTTAGCTGTCACCATAGTAGTTTTTTTATGGTCAGATTCTTTTTTTTTTTTTCTGTTTGCTCATTATTCAAGCCTATTTTTTAATTTTGGACTTTATGTTAGAGTTGGGCTCTGCTTACTTCTGCTTTCTCAATTCAGTCTCAGGGCCTGTAAATTCTCAATACTTCCAATGTGATCTGGAAAGAGGTTTGCTCATTGTCCTCCTGTTCTGCACTCTGCTCCTTACTTAGGTATGGCCTCTAATCCTTCTTGACCACAACTATTCCTCTCCTCCCTGGAACTGCAACCTGGAACTAGATAACAGAGCTGGGCAATAGAGATGCTATATGGCACCCATTCCTGCTTCTGGAGCTAGTACAGAAGTTCCCTGGGATTGTTTTCTGCCCAGATATTCAGTCTCCTTATTATCCCTAAGCATTGGGCTGCTCCCCACTACTGTTGTGCTGTGCTGTCCCTTACCCTCAATGTCTGCAGACCTCTCTGGTGATCTTCCTAAGCTACCCTGCGCTAGAGAAACGATTCACTGTTACTTTTTCTTAGCTTTTCTGCTCAGAATTCAGTTTGGTACATTTTCTAGGTGATTATGAAAGACATTTTGGGGAAGCTGAGGTAATATTGCTGACCTACTCTGCCATCTTGACAATTGTTATAAAGGCCTATCTTGGTCCAAGACAAATCAGGGTATAGTTCAGCATGATGGGCTAGGAAATCTTTCTGCCCTTTTGTCCTACAGCCTGAAAGCAATCCAAAGGACAGGTTCCAAACAAACGTTTTATTAAAAAGAATGATTTTTTTCATTTAAAAATAAAATAAAACTGAATTTTAAAAAGAATGGTTCTCTCTTACACCATATTCCACAACACATTCTAAATAGATATGAAATCTTAATATTAAAGATTTTACTATTAAAAAAATTAGAAGAGAAACAGATCATCTACTTCTCACAGCTATGGGTAGGAGATGTATTCCTAACCAAACGAGATACTGGCAATTACAAAAGATAAAACAGATTGATTACTTGAAACTGAAAAGCTTCTGCACAGACAATATTAATGCAGCTACAATAAGAAGGGAAGTGGTCAAATGGGAAAAAATACTTTGCATCAATTTCTCTGATAAGGGTTTGGTATCCGAGATATATAAACAATTAATAAATCTATATAAGACTATTAGCCATTCTCCAATAGATCAGTGGTCAAAGAATGTGAACAGTTCTCAAAAGAATTGCAAAGTATTCACAACCACATGAAAAAATGTACCAAATACTAATAATGAAAGAAATGCAGATCAAAACAACTCTGAGGCTTCACCTCACACATTATAATTGGCAAAAATGACTAGAAATGCCACTGTTCAATGTTAAAGAGGTGATGGAAAGACTGGCAACATTAAGTTGCTGATAGAGCTGTGAAAAGTATAGCCCTTTTGGAAAGCAATTTGGAATTATGTAAATGAAGTGCCTAAAATGCTCATATACTTTGCACCAGAGACTCCATTACTGGGTATATGCCCCAAGGAGACCACTGATAAGAAAGAAGTCCCCATATACAAGCAGTTCTCCCTTAAGTAAAGAATTCTGAAAGAAATCCACATTTTCCAAAAATAACCATGTTAACTTTCTCTCCCCCCACCCGTCTCTCAATTCTTCCTTCTACAGTCCCCCACCCTCACCAGGAAAAAAAAACCCTTCAAGTGAAAGCAGAAGGGCATAGAGAACATCAGCATGAGTGCAGCTGGCCAGAGAGGAAAGCTTTGCCCTGATATTGGTGGTGTTACCCCATCTGTCCCATTCTGTGTTGCTCTGTCTCCAGGTGCTTGTTGTCATCCTCTCCTGTCTATGTCCATGTGTGGCCCCCAGTATGTGGTCCTGTCTGTTATTCCTCTTGCTCTCACTTCTCTCTTTTTTTTTTTTGGCAATTGGGGTTAAGTGACTTGCCCAGGGTCTCACAGCTAGTGCTCTCACTTCTCTTGAACCCTGTGCTGGCCCCCTCTTCCTGCCTTTGTCCGTTCTCCACATGAAGATGAAGGAAATTTGTTTTATGTAAAAACTGTCACTTACCTAAAGTGAGACCTGTCAGTACTCCAAAATATTTATAGCAATACTTTTTATGATAACTAAGAACTGATGTCAAAGTGGATGCCCATGGATCAGAGAATGGCCAAACAAATTGTGGTACATGAATGTAATGCACTATTACTGTGCCATAAAAAATTATGCGTATGATGAATACACAGAAGCATGGAAAGATTTTTGTGAAATGATGCAGTGTAATAAGCAGAGCCAAGGAAACAATATACACATTAACTACAACAATGTAAACTGAAAGAACAATGGCACACTGGAAAATCAAATGTAAATGTAACAAAATTATAAAGATCAAATAGGACTCGAATGAAGAGATCTGAATAGACACCTCCAAAGTATCCCTTCCAGAAGGTGGGAAGTTTACATATTGCACACATGTTTCTATCAGTTTTGCTGGGATACTAGGTGGCCTCAGAAACTCAGAAAAGCAGTGTGACCCTGGCCAAGTCGCTTTACCCTGTTTGCCCTCAGTTTCCTCATCTGTAAAATGAGTTAGAGAAGGAAATGGCAAACCACTCCACCATCTTTGACAAAAAAACCCCAAATTGGATCATGAAGAATCAGACATGACTGAACAGTTTTGCTGACTTTTTTTCCTCTCTAAAAAAATACTATTTATCACATGGGATGGCTCTCAGGGAGGGGTACTGGATGGGATATGTGGAATATCATGATAATGTGAGAAACAGGAAAAAAATAAAAACTCATTTTTAATAAAAAGAATTATTTTCTCCTGAAACAAAACTGTAATTATAATAACCAAGCTTAACCTGTAGAAGAGACTGGAAAATGCACCTCCCTTCCTTTTTTGCAGAGGTGGAAAACCCCCTGTTATGAAACACTGTGTATAATAACATCAGACTTTTTTCATGTTGTTTAGTTTTGCTGAACTTCTTTTCCCCATTCTTATTATAAGGGATGGCTCTCTGCGAGGTGCATGTTGGGAGGAGGGGGGATGTACAAAGATATAGTTGTAAAGGTAGTGTAAAAAATAAACCACATACGTTTTTTAAAAATTTAAAAAGCAAGCAAAATGCACACTCCTTACAATTCTGGGAGGTAGATTCTAATGGGACTATTGTCCCCACTTTCTAGATGAAGAAAATGAGGCCCAAGGCCAACTGACTTATTTAGGGTCAAGGAAGTTTCACCTCAGCTCCCTTCCCCAGATGCTTCCTCGAAATCTACATAGTTAACCTCCCTAGGACTCAGTTTCCTCATCTGTAAAAAGAGGGACTGGGGACGGTTGGACTAGACAGAATGATTTCTAAGGTCCCTCCCAGCTATCAGCCCTAAAAAACTAAAACTATTTGGAAGTTCTAAAGTAACAACTTTGTGATGTTTTACTCTGAAGAGAAAAACAGATTGTCCAACTTAGAATGTCAACAAACACGAACCGGCACACCCAGCCCTGTAAAAACGCCTACCATGAGGAACACAATTATAAAACAATAAATATTCTTTGGTTTCACACCATCTCCTTCTCCTCCCTCCACACACATGCAAACTTTTTTTTTTTTTTGAGGGAGTTGTGAAACTTCAAAAAGAACCATTCCTTTGAAAATGAAACTACATATGCACATCCCTACCTCACTTCAATTCACTTGCTAGTTAGGACATCACCTTCCCCTGAGGTCACGGTCGTCTTGGAGAATGAAGGACATACAACAATCACATAAACACCCTCCCTCACCCTGGGCTATTTAAAGTAAGAAAACTGGAGCTGCCCAGCTTCCCCGGTTCCTGCGTGCTAGCCAAATAATTTCACTGTTACGCTTATGAAAGTTCCGGATCGGCCTCAACTTAGAGTTGCAGCCGGAGTTTCAGTGGAGCTAAAAGGAATACAAAGACCAGGATAGGAAATAAAGTTTCTGCTCTCGGGACAAGAAATCCTAAGGACCTCCCAAGCGTAGGACGCCCTGTCTTGTTTCGTCTTTGTCTCTGCTCCCTTCCAGATCCAGCCAGCAGCTGGTCCGGGACCCCTGCCAGAAAAAGGCCCGACAAAATGATTTAAACGCGCACACACACACACACACACACACACACACACCACACACACACACAACAACAACAACCCACCTATGAGTCAGATGAGATCCATCTGTCAACAGCTCTCCCTCTCCTCCCTACACCCGTTTAAAGGGCAGACAAGAAGGAGACGTGTTCACAGCACTAAGGAAAAGGAAATTAAAGAAAAAGGGGAAAGAGTGATAAGATAAGTACCTCACCCTCAAAACTGCGGCTCCGGAGCTCCAGAATCCTAAAGTGAAAGTGAGGTTCTGACCAGTGCGCTATCTGGCCGACAGCGAACCCAAGAGGGTGCCTACTGCGCCCACTCCTCAGAACTTGGACTGCAACTCATTGCAAAGATTTTACACAGTTCGCCGGCTTACGAGCCTTCCAGGATCCCAGACTTAGCACTGGGGTAAGAACGCCTACCCCAGATGGCCAAGGACTGGAAGGGCAGGTTCAACTCACCGCTTGCCGACTCAGTGACGGATCTGGGGTTTTGTCCACGCCCAGTAGTTTTCCCTTTGTTGGCGTCCATAATCTTCTGATTAGAAGGCTTTAATAGATAGTGTAGCTAGCTCAAAGTTCTAAGGATAGGGGGAAATTTACTCGCTGTTAACACAAAAGAGATCAATAAAAATTATTTAAAAAAAAGTTTTCGAGCTGGAAGAGTCTTTAGAGGTTTAACATACCGCTGTGTTGTTTACTCCCCATGTGACCTTGGGTAGGTCACTGGGCCTCAGTTTCCTCATCTGTAAAAGGGAGGGATTGAACTCGATGGTCTCTGAGGTTCGTTCCAGTTCTAAATCTGGGATCCTGTGAACATACCAGCTTATAAAGTTTCGCTAATTTTATAGAGGAATGACACCAAGCCCTACTTGTTGTAAGTTCTGCTAGTAATCATGAATACATTCCAGTTAAAGAGAAAAGGGTAGGCTCCAGGGCAGGGGAAGGGGGGAGGGAGAAGGTTGACAGTGGAATCACAGGACTTTTGGTCAAATCCCACTCTGACTTCTGACTAATAGATGAGTCACTTAACTTTGCTGGTTCTCTACTGTAAAATGAGGGGTAAGACTAGACAATTTCTGCAGTCCGTTATTCCTCTAAATCTATGATCTGTGAGCAAAGCCTGCAGAGCTGTCTTATTATTAATCTCCATGTTAATACCCCACCCACTCTCACTTTGTGCACAAGTGAAAAGTTTAGCTTCAAGGTGGGATATAATGAAAAGCTTGGGGACCTTTTGCTGTGAAAAGTCAAATTTGTTTTTCCATTTTGAACTTTTTTTTCCCTTCAAGTTGATCAAAATGGGCTCTCTCTCTCTCTCTCTCTCTCTGGCGGTGTTAAAGCTATTTTGTATTGAGCCACAACAATGTATATATTATGGGAATGTAGACCTGCTTGTCATCTTTATTTGAAGTCTCAGATGAATTGGTTTCCAATACTACTTCTCCTACTTGTTTGACTTTGGGCAAGTCACTTCACTTCTCTGGGCTTTCCTTTCCTCATTTATAAAATGTCAGGACTAGGTTAGATGTCCTCTGAAGTCCTTTCTAGTTCTAAATCTATGACCCAAGACTTAGGTTTGATTCTTTCCTACCTCAGATCCTTAGTAGTTGTGTAATCCTGCATAAGTCACTTAATGGCAATGAGCCTTTGTATGCTCACCTGGAAAAATGAGGATAATAACACCAGAAGTTATGAGGAGGTTCCGATGAGCAACATATACAAAATACTAAATAAATGCGTGCTGTTATAAGGAGCCTATGATCCTACCCTAAAATCACTAGTTTGAGTAATACAAAGCCCATATCGATTCTTCTTACATTTGCCAAAATGTTTGCCAAAATTTAGCACACACTCCCTCTCCCCAAATGTCATTATTAAAGTAGAAGTGTGACTAAATCAAAAGGAGACAACATTTTGGGGAAATGTGCTCATGAGTGTACTGGGAAGGCTGTGCAGTGTTAAAATAGGATATTACTTAATTTAACCAAGACAATTTGACTTCTTCCTTAATTATGAAAAGGTCATAGGAAGCAAACACTATATAAGTGTTAATTATTATTATTATTATTATTATTATTATATAGCTCAAATAACTCATTCATAAGTTTTCATAGATGTGAGTAAAAAGGTTTCCAGATCCCACAGGAACATAGCCTTTATTCCACCCTACAGGACGTGTAAAACAACATAACGAATTCGTACAGCCCATAAAATGTTGACTTGTTTCCTCTTTTTTTCTTTTCCCCAATGAGTCCCCAGTGCAGTCCTCTAGACTACTGACATCAGCTTATGGTTTGGACTGACTCCTGGAGGGGAAATGAACGTGGAGTAGGCCAAAGGCTCAAGTCTGTAAGGATTTAGAGTTTGTGGAAAGGATAAGCTTCATCCTTCCCACTGAACCTGCACTGTCTTCATAACTAGATAATAGCTAGTATTGATATATAGTGCTTTAAGTTTGCAAAAGTGAGTTACAAATATAACCTCACTTTATCTCCATAATCACACTGTTAGGTGCTGTTATTTCCATTTTACAGATGAGGAAACTATGTCTCAGAGAAGTTAAGTGGCTTGTCCAGAGTCATGTATTCATGTCTGAGGTCAGGTTTTTAACTCCAGTCTTCCTGACTCATGATAGCGATGACTAAAGGCCAAGTCTTTTGCTCCTCCGTGTAATAGCTTTGGATAGAGTACCGTGTCTAGAGTCAGAAAGACTCATCTTCCTCAGTTCAAATCTGACCTCAGATATTTACTAACTGTGTGACCCTGGGCAAGTCACTTAACCTTGTTTGCCTCAGTTTCTTCATCTGTATAATGAATTGGAGAAGGAAATGGCAAACCATTCCAGTATCTTTGACAAGAAAGCCTCAAATGGGGTCATGAAGATTTGGACACGATAACTGAACAACAACATAATAGCTTTGCTGTAAAGGGTTCCACATGCACAATCCTCTTCTTTTCAAGAGTGTGGTGCTGGTCAGGAACTCCACTCACTAGAAGGGAGGATCCTGGAATTCTCAAATTTGGTTTTGCTAGAGAGGCAATTCACATAGTTGCATGCAACCATGCATGTGACTATCATATGGAAAATGTCCTCACCTATGTCATGTAAGGGTCAGGGATGAAGAGTCTGAATGACAGGGTGGGACTTAGCAACCATCATGGCATCCCTGTTCATTAATACCTCAATGCCTGTGACTTAGATCTTTATTCCACCTTGTTAACCCATAGGAATGAGTGGTCATACCTTATATTTCACCTCTACAACCTTGAATTCTGAACTCCTCCTTTCTGATCATCATCTCCTGTCTTCTCTCTCTCTGTTTCATTCCCCCTCCCCCCCATTTTCATTCTAACCTTGATCTCCAATTCCTCTATCCTTTCCTGTTCTCCTAGTCTATGGTGTGAGGCAGGTGGTAGAGAGACTATCAATCTTTATCATCGGTGAGTAGAGTGCTGAGTCTGAAGCCAGGTGAATTCAAATCTTGCCTTAGACACTTATTAGACATTTACTAGCTGTGTGACCCTGAACAAGTCATTTAACTTCTGTCTGCCTTGGTTTCTTTACCTGTAAAATGAGGATAATAATAGCACCTACCTCCCAGGATTGTTGTGAGGACTAAATGAGATAATTGTAAAAGCACTCAGCACAGTGCCTGACGCATAGTAAATGCTATATAAATGTCAGCTATTATTATAAGTGACCAAACTTTCCACTGTCCTTCCCCCTTGAATTAATTCATTGCCCCCTTGTCCTACCGCTACTCATGCTTTGCTAAGCATTCCCATCCTCTAGATCATTCCCACCACCTTTTGTTTGCGTCAACTACAAATTTATGCTATCTAATATAAACTGGGCCTTCCCAATTGCACCACAATCCTTGTAATATCCCTTAATAGACTAACAGGCTCTCTTCTTTACCATGGTTGTCACGGGCTTTCTCTCCTTTCCTCAAGCTCCCTATTCTACTCTATACTCATTCTTTTAGTAGATGACCTTTCCTCTTACTATCCTGAGGAAATGGAGGCCATCTTGTGTGAGCTCCCAAATATCCTATTTCATAAATCAAAACCCTGTCTTCTGTTGCTTTGCCCCAGTCTCTGAGGAAGAGGTGACTTTTTCTTTATCAAGGCCAACCCTTCTACTTGTGCCTTTGAGTGAACACAAATTTCTCGAAGGCCTGGACTATCTTTTGCTTCTTTTCGTATACCTTGTGCTTGGCATAGTGCCTGGCATGTAACAGGTACTTAGTCAATGTTTACTGATTGATTGGTTGAATGACAGACAGCAAAGCAACTGCAACATCAGTAGTCTTAGAGGCAGAAATATCTGCATGAATGAAAATAACAAAACTGCATATGCAACAAAACAGACTGTGAACCCCAAACTCCATGAGCCCCACAAACTCTAATTTGAAACAGAGACAAATGAAATTAGGGTACATGTGTCCATGGTTTAATTTCTCAAGCTGGCTTGACATACAACGCATAGGAATTCAGTCCAAAACTGGGTCCGCTAACAGGGCCAGTTCAGTACGGGCTTGGTTTGGGATTTTGGAGTATAGCCTTATATGCCCTTCAAAGAGTAGGTGTTCCCAAGAGGTGTCAATCAACTGTGGTTGGTCAACACACTAGGAGGTGGCTTATATTAAAATGAGGTCCACAGGGGCCAATATTGCCTACCATCAAAGGAAATACCACCCCCAGTACTGGGAGCCTGTCTTCACCCAAACCTGAGTAGGATAAAATCAATTCAGGCCTGGGTTGGAGTCTGACAAAGATAAGAAGATTCAATGCAATCTCATTATCAGATATGTCCTTCTGAAGAACTTTGACCAGAAGGCTAGCTGCGGGGAAGCTCTGAGTCTCCAAGACACAGATTACCAAGAGAAATCATATTTAACAAGATAAATGCATCTACAATTATATGCATGGCATGAACACTGAAGAAAATAAACATCGAAAAGAAAACAATGAAGTAAAAGTATGTTTAAAACATTCAGTAATTAACATGTAAGTCAATGAGCATATGTGTAATTACATGTGTTAATATTGTACTCTTGTCTCTTAGATATAAATGTACCAGAAACATTTAAAATTTGATTTAACATTATTCTAAATCCAAACATTTTAACCTAGAGAAAGAGAAACCTTTGAACTGAAAGAGTAGTCCTTTGCCCATACCTTTTGACATATCTCTATCCCAAGACTATTTGAGGCAATATTTATAGGAATCTTGCACAAGGAAAATGTTATAATATGTTAAAATACAGTTTAGGATTAACATCCTACTTCAACAAATAGAACATGTCACTTCATAGCTATTCAGTTCCTTCCTTGACTGCCCTCCTCAAGGACATCTTCCCTTAGATCAACATCATCAATATTTCAATCTTTTCTGCACCCTTTTAATGAAAAAAGGGTACTTCTTTAGGTATCTTCTCATATACCAGTATGGGTCGCTAGGTGGCGCAGTGGATAGAGTGCCAGGCCTGCAGTCAGAAAGACCTGAGCTCAAATGTGGCCTCAGACACTTACAAGCTGGGTGACCCTGGCCAAGTCACTTAACCCTGTTTGCCTCAGTTTCCTCATCTGTAAAATGAGTATCTTTGCCAAGAAAACACCAAATGGGGTCATGAAGAGTCGGATACGATTAAAGCAACAAACAACATAGCCCAATGACTTTGGGGATGGGGAAAGCAAGGATCTTACAAGACCAAAGGCACTTTTTTTTCAGGATTTTGTTCCCACTCCTATTCATTAGGTCATGAACTCTTTTTAACTTTCTTTATATCTTATTCACTTCACATAGTGCCTGGCACATGTTAAGTCCTTAATAAATATTTGTTGAGTTGATCTAACTTGACTCTCCAAAAAAAGCCCTTTTGTTCTACT